GAAAAATGATAAGCCTTCTCCATCCTCAACGCCATCGACTAAACCTTAAGCCCCAAACCGGTAGCCTCAAACAAGAACATGCCGCCTTGCGCGTCCGCGACGCGTTCCGGGCTCGGCTTCGCACAACCTTTCGAATCAAACTCTCGCAGACAGTCTCACAGGCGAGGTGCGGCTGTCACTTCTAGCGAGGCTTCGCATTGGCGCCGAAATTCTTAGAAAGCGAGGGGCTGCAGCACCACGAGCACGCCTGCAATCGGAATGGGCCGACCCGTCGTCTCAAAGCCGGATGTGCCTAGAACTATGCTTCATTGCTGCAGCTAACTCGCCTGCGGCATGTTGATGTTGGGTGATTGTCCAAGCCACATCCTGCAATCGGCAGTTCAAGCGATCATATGAGCAGGAAGGAGCCAACCAGCGTGCAGCTCATGCAGAATCATGACATCATGCAACATAAAATGCTTATTCTGATTCTTCCGCGGCTCCTCACGCCCGCGAGCCAGCGGACAGAACTTCAGCACGTTGACGACGAAGGGGAGCTTTCTAAACTCCGAGCCCGGCAGCGTCGCGATTTGCTCACACTCGAGGCCAGTGTAGCCATGCTTGATCTTCTGTGAGACATCCAATTTCAAGGACTTGCCCTTCAGTCCATACCGACCCAAATAGATTCCGTTCTGACTTTCCATGATGACGCACTGCGTCCATGCGCCCTTTCCTTTGACAGCATAGAAGATGCTGCTGCCTGAAAGGGGGCGGCTTGTGGCGCGGCTCGGATGTTCGAAGCTGAGCATGCAGCCAACGACACTTACGACTGGCTCACCCGCTTTCATCAGGCACAGAGTGCTGCAGAACTGTTTGGCGTCACGAAACTCGGCGGCTGAGTCTACAGGATAGAATACCCAATATCTGTCCGGCGCAGTCTCTGCATCCGCTGGATAGGATTGGCAGAGGCCATGCCACTTTGACACACTTGCAGCATCTGCGTCGGGAATCAAGTCGAAGCTCGAGAGGAAAGATGCCACGGTCTCCGCAAACTTCTCATCGTTCGACAAGAGCTCGGGGTTCTGGTCGGATATGACCACGTCCTCGGGGAACTTGTCCTTCAACATCCTCAGGATATAGCATGTCACAGCAGCTGCTGGCATTGTGGTTTCCTCCCGGACATAGTTCTCTTCCAACTTGTAACCATACAACTCGACGGTCGATTTGTCCTTGACATACTCCAGGATGAGTGTCCCTAGGCAGAGCATGTGCAGAACCTCCAGCATGGCTTCCATGGCAGCTTCCAACTCCTTGCCAAACTCTCCCTCGAGGAGTTCTGGGGGGACTATTTCGGGGACCGTCTTGCCAGCCTCGATGATCTTCTGCCCGTACATGCTCATGGCGTCAAGGAGCTTGGCTTGGGGACGAAATCATTAGAGCTTTAGGTCTAGCTTTAGGTTTTGGTTTAGGGTTTAATGTTCAAGTTGGTGGTTTTAAGTCGTAAACGCTCAGCCATAAGTGTAGGTTGTGAGCCATCCCGGCAAGCTCCTTTGGGCCATGTCTCATCCGACGCAGTTGGGTGTGCTGATGCTGCCAATTGATGGACGGATTGGATAAGATATGCCGTGCCATATTCGGTCTCGCTTCCACTGAGGTTCAGCCGGGGCGAAGGGTCGGCGCTGAGAGCCTTTTTGGCCCTCAGCTTTATCGAGTGAGAAGAAACGAACGGCTCCGGTGAAAGCCAACGAGAAACCTCAAAACGCCAACCGACCGGACGACTCGGCAGGCGTAGGACCGACTTAGCGTAAAGTAGAGACTTGCCTGAAGCTCGATGGGACTTCGCTGGAGCAGCACACTGGGAATAAACGCCTCACGGCAGATTGACGAGCTTCGGGCGCCTCGAGCGTTGAAGACAGGGGCCGACAGCTGCCAGGAAATGCCCAGAGGCCCAGAATTACGGGCACAAGCTGTGAATCTGAAGCAAACGTGCGTTACCGACAGCACTACACCGTGGCCACCAAGGCATGGACCTAGCCAAAGAAGGCGACCGAGGCCGTGGAGTCATGTTCATGCTGATGCTCGCGGTCAACAACACTCAGCAGGCAGCGCAGCCACAACAAATCAAGCCAACCAACACCATCACTAACCTCAACGTCACCGTCGTCACGTCATCATCCTCACTCTAACTCTAATCATCACCATGATGAGTCACGACATTGTCAACAACGCAGCATGACCATAGCCATATCAGACAACAGCACTCAATAACACCATGGCAATGTCAAAACATCGTTGTCCGATCGTCGACATTCGTCGACATCATGTCAAGATTGCCATAAGCAAGTTAGTCAACCTCATCACCGAGGTCTCATCATCAACACCGTTTTCATCATCAGAACACGGACGCCTCCGGTGTTCGGGCTGCGCCCTCTCCTCACACTTGCAGTGTAAACACAAGGCTCACAACAGCTGCCCTCTCTTCCTGCCTTGCCTGGTTCTGTGTTGCAGTCGGTGCCATCCTCCTCCCCCTCCTCATCATCATCATGCTGATCAACAGAATCAGCAGCCTCACCATCACCATAAGCAGCAGAGAAAGTAGAAGTAACAGCAACAACGACGACGACGACAACGTCACCATCATCACGACCATCACCATTGCCATCACAAGCATCACCATCAGCACCAGTCATGAAACAACGGCATCATCGTCGTCATCTTCATCGTCCTCCCTATCAACTTCATAGACACTCCTATTACGTACATTCACACAGCGGTGCTGGCAATCCATGACACACTCGAGAGCGGCAATGACACAGAGCTAAAGGAGTCTCATGCGTGGGAAGTTGTCGCAAACCTGATGGCATTCCAACAACAGCCATTGCTACGACCGTAATGCACAAGACCTGCTATGGTCGTGACAAAACACCCATGCTGACATCGAACATGAACCAGAAGCCAACTCCGTGTGACTCAAAACAGTGACCTGAGTCCCGCACATCACGTCCCAGAGGCCATCGCTGGCAATCACCAAAACGGCGTCCTGCACCAAGTCACCAGTCTCTCTGACCAAACTGGAGCCCGCTTGGTTTGGGGCTCTATGATCCAACAGGAACCTCAAACTGCTGCCAAAACTGTTTTGAGGGTTTTTGGCTCCGCCTCATTTCCTGCAGAGCGGCCCCCAAGCCCTCAACCGCCCTCAAAACCCCGTTCCAAGAAGCCCGTGAAACCCTACATGCCATAAGCGTCCTCCGAACTCGGAGAAAGGACCGCGGCCACAGAGTGAAATCAGAAATCGTGACAACGCCCTTTGCCCCGGCCTGCGGAACTTCGCGCGTGCAGATGTGGGGACGCCAGGTGACCCCTCAGGAGGGCCGCGTCAACCCGGATTCGGGTATATCCTTTCGGGTTGTTTAGGGTTGTTTAGGGCTTATAAGGTTTTGCAGGGTTTGCGGTCCGGGCGTGTGTTGGGGTCAGGGGGGCTTCGCGTTGTGGATATCGGTTTCGACTTCCGACGGCGTCTATTCACCCTGACATGCCCCGGAGGAACTGATACAATGAGATGGCTGGCTGGCTCTGCAGCTCCCTGTCTCTGAGTACTGTTGACAGTACCATCCTGGTCGTGCTTCATGTTGAACATCACCATCGTAATCATCCTCACTCTCACCATCACCATCATGAGCAACAACATGATCACCAATGCAGCATGATCATAGCCGTATCAACAGCATTCAATAACGCCATGGCACTGAAAAGCTCCGTCATGTGCAGCATGGGCAAGCCGCTATTCACTCGGATCGTCGGTGTTATCGTCAAGATTCTCATAAGCTAGTCAACGTCGCCATCAAGGTCTCATCATCAAAACCGTTATTATCATCATCATCACAATGGCGTCCTCCGTTTTGGGTTCGGCATCCTCCTCCTCACACTTGCAGTCTAACATGCCGAAACACAAGGCTCGCAACAGCTGCCCTCTCTGCCTGCCTTGCCTGGCTCTGTTGTGCAGTCGGTGTCGTCATCCTCCACACCATCATGACGCCGACAACCAGCATCAGGAATCAGAAGCCCATGAGCAGCAGACGACGACGACGACGACCATCATCAGGACCATCACCATCACCATCACAAGCATCACCATCAGCACCACTCAGGAAACAACGGCATCATCGTCATCATCTGGATCGTCCAGATTATCAACGCCGGAGCCACTCCTAATACATTCACACCGCGGCCCTGGCAATCCAATTACAAACCCGAGAGCAGCAGTGACACAGTGCAAAAAGAGGCGCATGCGAGCATGGCAACTTGTCACAAACCTGTTGCTACGGCCGTCATGCACAAGACTTGCCATGGTGGTGATCAAACACCCATGGTGACATTGAAAATCAACAAGAATTAAGAAGCCAACTCAGTGCGACTCAAGACCGTAACCTGGGTCCAGCACATCACGTCCCAGAGGCCATCGGTCGCTGTCCTGCACCAATTCGCGTTCTATCTGACAGGACTGGAGCCCCACTTTGCGGGTTTAGGGGTTTGGCTCTATCTCCAAAACAACTGCCTGAACACGAAGTGTGCGAAACCCGAAATCCTCCATTCATGGCAGATAACCTCAGACATCGGAGAAAAAAAACGACGGCGAATCCCTCGGCCGCAGACTGTGCTCGAAACACGCTCCCGCCCTTAAGACTCGCTCGGCAAGTTGACCGCAGCTCTTCTCACAAGCCCCGGCCTGTTCAACTTCGCGTGCGGTAACAAAAGGGCCTCGAGGGACTTGAGCTGGGACAACGAAAGCACCAGCCGCTCAGCCGAGACAACACTCGGATGCGGATTTACACGTCGAATATTGGATTCGAGTCAACAAGTGACGTGCTGTTTCTATTGCCACAACTGCAACTAGGACGTGATTGTCGCTTGCTGACACCACTGCTTGCCATCAACATGCTAGGTTTGGGCACCCGGCCGAAGGATTGAAGTGAATGGTCGCTCAGCCCCTGGTGACTGCAGGCGGCAGCGGCAACAGCTGCAGAAGCAGCAACGACAGCAAGATGACAAACAAAGGGCCCATGAAGCTCAACGTGGATCTCTGCACAAAACCGCCACGACAGGCACTAAGGCATCCAGCCATTCGGCCACGCGCCACGAAGCCGCCTCCCAAACGAGAGATGCTGAAGAGAAAGTACTCAGTGGGGTGTGGATTTGCGGCTAGTCATCAGCAGCGTCCGCATGCCACATCTTGGACCCAGAAGTTTTCAGAAGTGCCCTGATTTTGCATGCGAGACCGAGGGTAGCACCCACGGCCCGTACGACCAGAACCACTGCGGGCCTGGATTGCACATGCTCGATTTCGACAACATCATGTGGCCTGCAGTTCGCGACTCCTAACGACTGAAGCGAAACTCCGAGGATTCATTTGTCCCCACGATCACAGGGCATGATGGAACCATAAAGGAAGCAAATCGTTCGGAAAATTGGATCCGAAGAACTTTTAGCCCTATTATAAGGGAGTGGCTCGAAAACATGCAAGATCTCGAAATTGGGAGTGGCTGCTTTGGAACAAACCCCAACCCCAATAAAGTATATTAGATCCTAAACCCAACCCTTTTGAAGGTGATGATGAGCAACAAAGATGACAGATGATGGGTGGCACCAAACATTGTAAACCTTTTTCCAGATCATAAGCTTGAATGGGGTGGTATTCGCAAGCATCTCAAACCATGATCGAAAACCGATGGGTGGCAAATCCAAAACCCGAAGCCTGACAAGAAGATGGCGGGTGGCCAAACCTTAGAGGTGAATGGATCCAGGCTACCGAAGAAAATCTGTGTGGCAAATTCCAGACCCCGAACGACAAGATGGTTCAACTTCCGTAAAACACTCAAACCCGGTGACTTATCATAGAGCCAAACCCGAACGTGGCATGATGTACTGTGCAAAGTGAATTTGTCCCGAAAACCCCAACTTATACTGCGGGGAATCCGTCATCACATTGATGACATTAACAAAGCAGATAGCATCGTTTACAAACCGAAAACCCGTAAACGACACCCTTCGGGCCGGGAGTTCCACTATCATCTTGAATTCTGTGAGATTTCTGTTTGACTTTTCAATCAAGGCGACCCAAAGCAACCACATGTTGTTTCATGCCATGCCGATCCAATGCACCTTTTTTGTCTCGACATGAAGCATAACTATGTAGTCTGTGTGCACATGGGTATGCCAGGAACTTTTGATGTTTTGGTTCGGCCCCGGTTTTGTCCGCCTTACAAGCCGTCATTTAGCGAACTTGGAAGGGCTCAGCTGTAAGGCGTAGGGCGCCGGGCAGTGTAGGGGATGAGGGTTGCGTTGCTTCCAGCATTGCACGGCGCGCACTCTCCCAAACCTCAGAAAGACTCAAATGATTTCG